AGCACAGCAAGCAGAGGGGGCAGGCGGCGGGTGCAACATGACCACATGAGGGTCGCGAGCTGGGACTAAGGAGCGCCGCGAAAACTTGACGATTCGAAATCTAGAGAGCTCTATAACTCGAGACGCGGAGTCGTCCCGCAAGGTTTTGGGTCCAATTGCCATCAGGCTTACAGCGGCAACCCCAGGTGAACCGTATGTATGTCGTGCCGAATCTGGTTCGGATTTGGGCGCATTATGTACGATTATTCTCGAGCAACGAGTCTATAACGCTCTCCCGATGTCTCCATCCACTCTCCGGACAGGTTTTCTGGGTATAACAAACCTAGCATAGGACGATCCCGTCGATCTCGCTGCACCCGCTGCCTGCGCACCTCTGCTTGCTTTGCTACAGGCGCTTGAGCTGACCTTGAATCCAGGTAGGCAGGCGCCCGGTAGGCGCGCGAACAAATGAGCGAGCGACAAGAATTGAACACGCCTACTGGGAAACTTCCCCATGCTCTTCATGATGGAGCGCCGCGACGGAATCATAGAGGCCCATGATCACTGAGCCTGACACAAGCTGAAAGCACGCGGCGCAGGGGTAAGGGCAATTGAACGATATCACATATACTCGGTCTTCCGGAATAGACATATCCATATCCACACCATAACTATGACATGGCGACATCGTCAGCAGTTGTGAGCCATTCAACCTGCATGGCCAATGGCAACAGGCATGCAAATAACTATGTAACAAGCTTGTTCGTGCGCGCTGCACATAAGGAGTCCGTCGCTCCCACCGAACAGCCCTGCGTACGATGAGACGGTGGACAACGCAATGACCCTGTACCGCTGGCAAATGTATTGCTATGCTGCAGCCAGACAGGTATGCAAGAGAGTGGGCAGGGTACGTAACAGCGGAACCAAGCATGGATGTAGGCATGACGTCCTTGTCCAGGCCAGGGGATGGCACATGGAAACAGAGCAGAGTCGTTGGGAACAGCTGGAGGTCGCCTAAGCAGATAGTGAGTAGCCGAGGACGGGGATATCAGGCGGTCTCAGCAGACTCAGCGGGGGGTGACGTGACACTGTGACGAAAGCCTTGCGTCATAGCGTGACGCCCGCGCTTGCAAACTTTCAGCTGCTTGCGAGGTCTTGAGCTCAACTTCAGCAGCTCTCATATACTACTCCCCTGCCATGTTTAGATCAGAATTAATGACATCGGTCTCTCATCCAGAACTTATGCGCCACGCACCATTCGCCAATCCGACGCCACTCCACCATCTTGTTGCCGTGAGCCTCGCCACGTTCTCGACGGACTCGCAGTACTACTACTCGCGCTTCGCGAAGGGGGTTTCTCTGCATGTATATGCATACGTTTACACAATTCACACTCTCGCTTGAACATCACGGCTCAAGCGCTCGACCCACATGCTTAGTATTCTAACACAGTCCTTATGAGGGACGACCGCGCGGTACCAACGCGTGCCAGTGTTTACTGAGCAGTCGATCACCCAACATGCGATCAACAGTCAACGTCAAAATCGACGTTCCTGGAAGGCGGCTGTGTCGAGTTACGTGAGCTACAGCTGTCTCTTTCCCCAGGTGACTTTCACTCCTCGTCTTGGTTCTCATCGCCAAAGTTCACCATTGCCTGGTTCCAAGACAGCGACCGTTGCTTTCGCCGCACCCCGTGACTCCCGTTGTCTCAACGCAACGGTAACAGTATTTGATTGAACAGTGAGTGATTTTGCCCTTGGAGCCTTTAGGTGCACGGCGCTGATACAACACAGGGGATTGCCTAGTGCTTTGAGCACCGTGCGCGACAATGAGGCTGCTCGATACACGGACAGGCCAGTTTGTGGAGAAAGATCCGGAGAGGACTTCCTATACCGTCCTGTCGCACGTGTGGGACAAGGTCGAACAGTCGTATCAGGAGGTCCGCGGCGTCCAGAGCTCGTACGACGACCAAGGCCGACTACACACTGTCAGCTTGCCAGCTGACCCAGCTCGCAGGGTGGTGCGTAGGTGTTTGGAGGTCGGCCAGTCTCTTACTCGCTTAGCAACCGGACCGGGCTTGAAAGCGTATCACTCCCTCCGGAGCGGCATACGGAGGTTGACGAGACGTGGCACACGCTCCTCCCGCCCCCCCACGGTATGCCACTCGTCGAGCACCTCTTCACCCCCAGTTGATCGGCCCAGCACACCGCACGACATGTCCACTTCCAGCGCTGTGGCGCCCATCTGGTCCGATCATCGACTGTCGCCAAAGATACGGGAGTCCTGCAGAGTTGCACGCGAGGCAGGCTACCGGTACGTTTGGATCGACTCGTGCTGCATAGACAAGACGAGCAGCTCCGAGTTGTCCGAATCGATCAACTCCATGTATCAGTGGTATGGGCGTGCGAGGGTGTGCTATGCATTCCTTGCGAACGTCCCCGCCGGCGAAGACCCCCGTAAACCAGGGTCCGCTTTCCGTTCGAGCCGATGGTTCAGGCGCGGGTGGACACTCCAGGAGCTGATCGCCCCATTTTCCGTGACGTTTCTCTCCAAGGACTGGACGGAGATCGGGACGAAGGTCGCTCTGGCTGACCTTGTCGAGGAGATCACGGGCATCCCTGAGGACGCTCTCGTGCATGCCAAGTTGCTGGACGAGTACAGCGTGGCTCAACGACTCTCGTGGGCTGCCAAACGGAGAACAACGCGAGTGGAAGACCGGGCGTACTCGCTTCTGGGAATCTTCGACATCAATATACCAACGCTGTACGGTGGGGGCGAGCGCGCGTTCCGCCGGTTACAGGAGGAAATTGTACGACGTGTCCCCGACCAGACCCTTTTCGCATGGAAAGATGTGTACCAAGGCATCGAAATACACGAGTCGTCGACTGCTGGTGGAGAGAAGTACAGCCTTCCATGTCAGCGACGCGGTGTGTCCCTGTTTGCCACGTCTATCATTTTCTTCGAAGGCGACAGCAAAAACATCACAATCGTCTCTCCTGCCACACTCCATCAGTTGGGGCGCTCCGACCTCCTCTCCACGGAGTACACTCCCACCTCACACGGTATCCGCACACGACTGCCTATCCTGTCCTTGTCTCATGTATTTCCTCAAACCGATATCGTGGATCCTGACGGGCTCCCCGGAGCCCAGCGGTACCTCGCCATCCTCGGGTGTGAACACAAGGACAGCCCCGGCTGTCTTCTAGGACGCGTCTGCTATGTCCCGCCCTCTGACACTGGCATTGAAGTCTTGTTTCCAGGATGGGTAGAGATCTGTCCAAAGCCAAGTCGCGGTGATCATCGGCCCGATCTCTTCCCCCTGTCCCCGGCAACCATAGAGCGCTGTCGCGATGACATCCAGGTGAAGACCATCTATATCTGCCACCCAGAGCGCACTACGGCGAAATCACAGGACGCCCACCGTCAGCCGTACAATACGATAATTCTTGTATTAACAAAGACGACCCGCGATGCTCTACGCGCCCAGGGGTACACGGCCGCATTCCAACATCCAGATGAGGACCATCCGAATACTCACTGGGTCACGCTTCTCAACAACGACCACATGATCACCGTCGAGTACAGGCATACCTTGAAGGATGGCGGTGGGCAGTTGGGGGTCGAAGCACATGTGAAGATGCTGCGACGCGCTCTTGAATCGGCTGTAAGGATCAAGGCGGATCCTAGCTCTGTGAAGTGGTCGGATGGCAGGCCGTGGTTCTCATCTCTGCACACTTAGGAAGTCGCCTTCACCCTGGCGGGGAATGAGCTCACCTTGAAGCTCGGCTTGGACTGGGCTGCGCCGTCGCATTACTTCTTGCACATCGATATCGTCGAGATGGAGGAGGCCTCTTCGGAGTCGACGCTGCTCGAGCGGGAAGCGTAAGAACATTGTCAGTAAATTTGGGACTAACAGTGGCGCATAAATGCAAGGCATCGGGTCGAGCTAGTCACGTTCGAATCCTGGCATCAAGATGGGGGGCGAGCTCACGGAACGAGCGCCTAAGGTCCCGCCCCCCGATGGATACCCGCGTCCTTATCTACCCCTATTTAGCTACGTATAGAAGACTCTTTCTATCTACTTTTTACAGTACGCGTTTGCACCGGCCAAACGCGAATATTATTCGTGCTCTCTTGTCCTCGAACTTCTACAGCTAACAGAACCTCAGTTGCTATTGAGGGGGCCGGTGACGAATCCGCTGACGATGCACCTATTGACCTACCCGACTTAAGAGACATTGCAGGTTAACAAGAGACATCAAATGGAGCGACGTGTGGAGCGGGTCCCGATATGAGTGACGAGGCCAAAGGGGAGCGCGAGGGAGCTACGCTGCATTGATGTGACCGTGTTCCCGGCGAGTTTGGTTCTTCGGATTGCCAATTCAAGTTTCTCGGCAGACGACGCTCGCACGACGGGCAGCGCTCAGAATCCCTTTGCGTGAAACGGAGGTCTTTTTTCGGGACAGTCTTAACTTGTCTCTTTGCCGGCGCGCGCTAAAGGGCGCTAAAGGATGCCCAGAGATTCTACAACCCCTTCACAAAGAACGATTCGAGACGGTGCCCGTCGTGTCGGTTTAGCATACTACTTGTCTTCCGTTTTGAGTATCGTATCTTGATGAGCCTTGGTGACATTGACAGATGTTTACGCTGCCTTTTAATGCGCAACAGATTGAGGCTCACACTCATCAAGCCTAGCACAAACAGTCGCCTGAGCAGCCGAGGAAGGGAGAGTAGCTCGGAACACGAAGTCGTCGGACAACCGGCCCGGGGTTGTCCTGAGCCGAGACCGCCAGTGACGCGCTGACGGTGTTATCGCAGCGCGACTACAGCCTGAGCTGGCAACTCCCAGAATCCAGATGATTGGAGGTGCGATGCTTTGTGGTAACCTTCCCCTGTGCTCCAATAGACTCGCCATCGAGTAAGAACAATAGATCCATATCTCGACCATATGTATGCTCTGTGATGTGTCGTATATTCCTCAGCGTGCAAGAGACCATACATGGAGTACTGCCTTGAAGGCATGTCGTCGACATGGACGTCTGTCTCAAGTACCCTCAATTCGTCGTCGCGTAAGTGAACGGAGTGGTCGCCAACCCCGCCCGCGAATTCCCAACATCATACACCATGTAGAACCGCTCCAGGAATCCCATCCCATTAATGAAATCAAGTCCGCTTCCGGAGATCTGACCCAAGTCATTGACAATGAGGTAGATGCCTTCCGGATCGCCGCCCATCGCCGCGTTCAGCTGGAGTGGTACGGGTCAGCGCTAGAAGGCGATAGCTCTCAACTTCGTGACTCACCGTACGGGGCCAGATCTGAGCGTTCTGTGTCAACTCGTACGAGACCTGATGATGGGCCGTAGATCAGTCATTCAGTAGAGCACGACCCTTGAGAACACCTACGCCGCCGATTGTGAACTGGAGACTCTTGAGGTTCGCGTACTGTTCCGGCGTAATGCGCAGAAGTCCCGTATCATTGTCTAGCTGTGCACCGGTATAGTTCTTGTACTTGTCGAAGGCATCTGAAGCACCATTACCATGATGAAAAACTGGTGCTGATTCGTACGTGACATAGCTCACCAGTGGCCAGGAGAATGAGCGTCGTACCGGTGTCGAGAATGCCTGACCCGGAAGGCATCACGGGTTGTCCCTCTCCGTAGGTGATCTTCTGGTCTATTCCCACGTATTTACTTGCGGGAGAAACCTTAGTTAAAGGCCTTGATGTGGCATTGCGGAGTCAGTAAATCAGCGCAATCACCGACAGTTGACTATATGCTCTCACGCATAGTTCAATGTGCCGTTAAACTTGGAGTGGTTCACTCCTCCAAACGTGAGCTCGCCGTTGGTCTCATTGTCTTGATTGAGGGGTTCGAAGGAGATGCCGACAATGTACTCAGTGAGGAGCCCCAGTTTCTGGGCGTTATCCGTAACGGTTGGCACCTCCTTCTCACTCTCCAATACCAGTGTACCTATATGGACGCAGACGTACAAGGATCAGTCTCTAGAGCTCGCACGAGGATCCCACGAAAGACGATGGGTTACCCTGAGTGAGGTCTACCGGTCCGATGCTGTACGAAGTAGATTAGCGCATGAACGATTGGGGAACTGATGTTTATACCCCAATATTCCGTCTACACCATTAAATCCCTTGGAAATGGCGGCAACTCCGACAGACTGCTCTGGAATGGTCAATCCCTCGACGAGAGTGACTTCGCACAACTTCTCAAGGCCTGCACATCGTCGACTAAGCATCTGGAGAGAACAGCGCGGCGTTGGGGTACTCGCCGATAAAGGAACCGCTTCCATAGGAGACGGCCTGCAGATTGAGCGACAACAGAGACACAGGCATCAGTTCTATATCTAGAGGTGAGATACAGAGACGCACCACTATATCGTTAGTGGGCTGGCATGACGGATGGAAGAGATCGAGCGAGGCAGCCCCAACCCAGGTGTTGGAGCTACCGGTATCAATAAGAAGGTTATCTATGGTGAGGATGCTGTATCATAATCGAAGGTATTCGAAGACATAAGGTAACGACTCACAAGAAGTAGGAGGATTGCCGACGGCCACCTGCAAGCGCATGAGAACATGGAGGATCAATGGTGGGGCTGACATATACTTACATTGACGGTGTATGTAACTACTCGACCAGTCGCTTCGTCGTTGAACGCTGCTGCATTGCTAGGGATCTGATTGGGTCCTCCTGAGTACAGTATAAGTGAACAGTGCGGAAGACAGGCGGGAGCCGTGGAGAGGAACGGTGACGCACGAGCGCGAGCGCGAAAAGCTTGAGCGCGGGCCTGGTCTAACTTAAGGACGTTCCGGGAACCCGTAGCGTTAACATTGCGCGCGAGGGAAAGGGCTACAGGGGTCTTGCTGTCCGTCGTGGATGAAGGGTAGGAGCGAACATTGAGTGCGAGTGATTGATGAGAGGCTGCGACAGAACACAGCAATAGAAGCAAAGGAGCGTGTAGGGTGTGGGTGCGAACCATATTGCAAAGCTGTAAGGATAGCGCGAAAGAGCGAAAGGGAACACCGAACCTCTCTTACGCGGATGGCATGTTATAAGGGGGTTGTGACGGCGCACAACTCTCATGCGGCTGACTTCACATCCTTGACAAGTACCGTCACCCGCACTCTCCTCGGGTCGCGTTGAAATCAGGAGCTGCTCAATGCTAATACACGACCTTCTGAGCTGAGCACATCGCATGTTGATGTGACGGATCTCCAGAGACCTCACAGGCCTCACAAGCGGCAGACACAGAGCTGTCCACGACGGATGCGCTGTGACCGATCAGAAGGTGTGTAGATCGTGTAGCCTTGTATCTTCGACTCAGCCGAACCATAGTGGTATATCATCTCATCACACAAATCACCATTGCATGGTAGTCATGACTCTGACTGAAGGTTATAGTATGAAATATGTCGGAAGCCCGACATTTTACGTACTTTACTTCCGAGAAGGGCGGGAGATCACCTTGTAAGTAGATCTAGCCATCCTCGGCTGCGAACAGAACACTCTTCGTAGCCATCTTCTCTCCAACATTTGCTTCACCCTTCCCTCCAAGTCTGCCATTCGGCATGTGTGCTGGAGGTGATCCGCAATGGCACAGCGAAAACGGGATGGGGCGCCACCACGGACACTTTCAGTGCAAGACTGTATATACATCCGATCCTCGCAATCCGGACACCGCACTAGAAGTAGAGCACCCGCCGTCCTCGACAGTACTGGGAAGGCTGCACAGCGAGAGTCTTCCACTCCAGACAACCGATATGCGGTAGCTCATGCTCTCCCACAATGATGATCGTACGACCACTATCGAGTTCTAGCTCGAGCTGAGGTACGCCGTGGCTGGTGTGCAACAGCACATCGTCGATTGACAGATCAACTCGCCACGCCCTCCTTCCCAAGGCAGGCGGCGAGGTCAAGACAGAAACGGGCTCTGTTAAATGGCGGAATATCTGTGGAAGAATCGGTCCCTTGATGCGAAACGAGTTTGCTTCGCTCTTATTGAGCCAGACCAACTGACAGCGAAACTGGGCCTGACATGGGCGGCACAGTCATGCTATGACTGCCTTGTCAAGATGCCACCGAGACAACTGCTTATCTCGAGGACGAACATTTGTGGGAGACTGAAACGGAGCTCAAGAAGGTACATGAAGACGAGAATAATCACCGAGGGGGTAGCGATTAGGAAGATGATGAGAGCGAGTAGGGAAGCTCCGGCCACAAATGGACGGGACTCCTACTCCTCGTACAACGTCCTCGCAGGCGATTACGCCGTGGTATAGTCGAACCCGTATCTATGAGAACACTCACTAGCTTGGAGCCGCCTATCTCCCAGCATCAGTCAATATGTCATCTCTCGCCTTCCCCGTCAAGCAATAGCGGCTCTGCCCTCCGGCTGTGTAGATCGCCATGTCAGCATTGGGCCTCCAAACTAGAAATCTTGGCAGTAGGCTGCGTGAAGGTTCGAATCGATGCGGACAATGAGACGTAGAAGGCACCAGTAAGACCCAATGAGCCAAGCTAGCCGCGCGACGTTGCTATATAGTGGATAGGAACTGTAAAGCGAATAGATGTGGAACCAGCGTGCATAGTCGCAGTCTGAGCCTGATGGGAGACGTCCAAGCAGTCGGCTGAAGCCGGAGGAACGGGCGCTCGCTTTTCCCTTCGCCCGCGACTCACCTCTATGTCATGACCGGTTGACCTCATGATATGAGACATCGTCTATGCATCGCTCACTTTCGCGATCAAGTCAAGAATACCAAAGCTTGGAGCGATAGAGCCTTTATTTGTCCAGCCTTGACATTCTTTCACATTACACTTTGCGAGCTCGGAGCTCCCTCCTTGGTGAGCACGGTATCTCACCCTTCCCCCAAACAACAGTACTATCTAAAGGTCTCTTACTTCACTTATAGCCAACGAGATGATTCTGTAAGTAGCGAACGTCGCTATAAACGTTGCGCTCCAATGGTAGGCGCGAAGCTGTTGTTTATGGAGTCTCCGACTCAGAGACGAGACACATGCCACAGGTGCTGATTTATATCTGTGAATGATGACTATTGATGCTCATGTAACGTTATTACATGCTTTAGCGCGACCAGCCCCATATAGTCTCCATTGCCCAGTGGTCTCGGTACGAGGCCTGCATCTAAACCATAGGCGCTATCTCCGGCGAATCGTCAGTCAATGAGTCACCAAAATTCCAATGTCAAAAAGCAATGACTGATACGTTACCGACCGCCGTTGAACGGCATCTCAATGGGTATAATTTCCGGCTCATGCGATGAGAGCGCAGTGCCACCGGACAAGCGTGGTGCGTCATGTTACTTCCCCATATCTCCGTTTTGCCGGTCATCATAACGATTCATCCATGCGGATCTCTTGTGGTCCTGTCTCACAATTTCATAGTCGTTCTGTGAAAGAGCTGTACCGCCTTGATACAAGGGACTATGTTTTAAGAGGCCTTGAACCAGTCGCCACTTCTACCGTTGTCACAACGATGAGCTCTCCTACATATCCGAGATATGAAACGTGCGTATCTTCCTGAAAATTAGCTCGCAAGCGCGACAAACCATCCTCTTCCAGCGATGTTGACGTTCTCATCATCGGCGCTGGGCCAACAGGTCTCGGTGCTGCCAAGCGTCTTCAGCAGATTGTGAGTGGCTGTGAGATTCGTCATATCAGGGAGGCAATTGACGCGTAAACCAGGACGGGCCATCGTGGATGATTGTTGACTGCAACAGCAAGCCAGGTGTAACGACTAGCTGAAAATGGAACGTGCGGGAATTGCACCACGCACAACCGTTGGACTACCCGTCCCACTTTCCCAGCCCGTTACAGCCACTAAGCACCGTTACCTCGGGTGACTAAGCCGGGTACTGCCGTACTTCTCTGTGACGGTGCGTCATCCGTGACGCCACCGTTACACCAGGCGGGCTCGCTGCGACAGACACCACCCCGGAAGGCTTCGTAAGGAACAGATTGCGTCAAACTGTAGGACACGTTCTCACAAGATCGGTGGCAGCTCTTCGATGTCGGCGGTCACGTCATATTCTCACATTACCAGTATTTCGACGATTGTCTCTGCGAAGCTCTTCCCCGCGATACAGACTGGTGTAACCATCAGCGAGTGTCACACGTCAGGTACAAGGGCCTTTGGATTCCCTATCCTTTTTAACACAACATCTCCATGCTCCCCAAGGAAGATCAGGTGCGGTGTCTCCAAGGGATGATCGATGCTTCTCTCGATGCCGCGGCGACAACAAGTGTGCCTAATAATTTCGATGAATGGATCTTGAAAACCCAAGGAGAAGGTGTCGCCAACCTGTTCATGCGGCCGTATAACTTCAAGGTCTGGGCTGTTCCAACTACTGATGTGAGTTCTCCGGTAATACGTCTGCCGAATCTCAGCATTCGTACACGGGTTTTCTAATGCGTGGCCTAGATGCAATGCTCATGGCTTGGTGAGCGTGTCCCGGCGCCCGACCTCAAGACAATCGTTACAAACGTAATTCTCCACAAGACCACCGAGGATTGGGGTCCTAATGCTACCTTTCGCTTCCCCTCCCTTGGCGGTACTGGGGGGATCTGGAGTGCCGTCGCTGACAGCTGAAGAAAGAGAACGTTCGCCTCGGTAAACAGGGCAAAGTGGTCAGCATCGACGACATACGCAAACGAGTCCTTCTCCAGGATGGAACGACTGTGAAGTATCGCCAACTTGTCTCTACGATGCCCATCGACACCCTCACGGACGTCATAGGCGATGCGGAGCTGAATAGCCTAGCCGGACGACTTGTTCACTCGAGTACTTACGTCATTGGCATCGGCCTGCGCGGCCATCGACCGGAGCGCATCGGCGATAAGTGCTGGCTGTACTTTCCCGAAGATGATTGCCCCTTCTATCGTGCGACGATCTTCTCCAACTACTCGCCCCACAACCAGCCACCCCCAGAGGTCACACTCCCCACCCTCCAGCTCGCCGATGGCTCCAAGCCACCTTTTTCCGCTCGCCTGCCCGGCCCCTACTGGTCCGTCATGGTCGAAGTCTCCGAGTCGCCCAACAAGCCGGTACACTACGACACGCTCCTACAGGACTCTATTCAAGGGCTCATCAATACCGAGCTGCTGCGTTCCGACGACGAAATCGTGTCGATCTACTACCGTCGCTTCGAGCACGGCTACCCCACTCCCTCGCTCACGCGCGACGGCGTGCTGCAGGAGCTACTTCCCCGTCTCCAGGAGCGTGGCATCTACTCGCGCGGCCGCTTCGGATCGTGGAAATACGAAGTCAGCAACCAAGACCACTCGTTCATGCTCGGGGTCGAGGCGGTGGACCATATCGTCTATGGCTCGGCGGAGCTCACGTTGAATCGCCCCGACTATGTTAACGGCAGTCGCAATGTTAGAGAGGTTTGTGGACGCGGCGCGCCCTACTGCAGGTACGTGAGAATTTAGAACCCTTCGAGTTCTCTCCTAAGATGAATTCCTCCGGTTGGGTGCTCGTTCCAATGTAATCCCTATCAAGGGGAAACAACAGAAGTGCATTGATATGTTGTTCCACTCCATATCCGACTGTGCGGCATAGCTAAGTGGCAATCAGTGTAGAGTCGGCCGCACAGGAAAGCACAGATGCAACAGCAGGAGATCGTGCCTCAGTGCTGGTATAAGCGATAGAGTTGTAGCCTGCAGTGCATCGACCGGGATGGCTAATAGCTAGCGGCAAACATGCAAACTTCCACAAGCCGGTCGCCGACCGGACTGGCGGAGTCGGGTCGTATAGTTATGTACATACATCCGTCGTCCACACCGCTCTGCCTGCACGTCCGGACGACTGGTGCTCTGTGGTGAACGCAGTCGGACAAGTATGAGACGTTTTGACATTTGAAGGAAACACTCGGCGTGGACGAATCCCATTCGACGCCTCGTGATCGGATCCCTGAAATGCCCCAGCACAGCCTGCTCCAAAGCAGTCGGCGCTCAAGCGACAAGTCATTTGAAAGTTCGCTGTAGTGTATTTCGAGTTCACCGTGCCGTGGCCCTCTGACCTGTCATGTCGACCTTGGACGACCTCGCGATCTCCCTGCACCTCTTACTTTCGGTTTCATCTACCCTGCAGTCCCCGGCGCTTCCATGGAAGGTCATCGAGAGGGCCGTCGAGCTCTGCTCCGGCGACAAGGCCACGCTGTGCGCCTTGGCTCTCACATGCAGTCAGCTCCATCCTCGCAGCCTCTTTGTCCTCTTCACCAATGTCGACCTCCGTAGCACGAAACGACTCATGGCGTTCTACGATGCTGTCCAATCTCAGCCGCACCTTCAGCCTGTCGTGCAATCTCTGTCCTTCGCGTGGGACGATCTCTCTCCGTTCCCACTGTTGTCCATCCTACCTGGTCTCCATCAATAAGATCTCCTCCGTCAATATTTACGATGTCCAACTCAGCCATCCGGGTCTAATCTGTGACAGTCAGTTCGCGACAGTCAGTTCGTGACGGGCCTTCTGAGCCTGGCATATTCCTGAATATTCGGAAGACGATCTCCTGGTCGAACGAGTTTCGCAGATGGTTCCGGCCACTAAGCGAGAAATGGATGCTGACCGAGAACATCCGATACTGTGAGTTGAATCTAGAGACCATGATATTGCGTGGGATGTTGACTTGAGTAGCTGGTAAACCCGGGCATGACTCGGGCGTCACCGCACTTGTCTCCTCAGATGGGCGGTGGCAACAGCCTCAAATGATAACACCATCATCCTGTGGGATGCCCGAGATGCATCTATCTCGCAAGAGTGGTTTACAGACAATGGGGAGGTCCGAGATTTCGCATTCTCACCGAACGGCCGATACCTCGCGTCTGCATGTGAAGATGGGAAGGTCGCCATCTGGGACATCAGCGATAGCTCACGACGAGTCGCCACTTTCGAAGGTCATCCTGCTGCTGTCCGAAGCTACGCATGGTCGAGCGATGGTGCTTACATCATATCCCCCGATCGTAGCAGAACTACACAACTTTGGGATGGGCGAACGTTCCGACCGGTACCCCTTGACGGTCACGCAAACAAGACAACAAGCATCAAGCCCCTGTTCTCTCCTGGCAGCCGCTGTCTTTTTGTGCACAATCTGGGCGAGTGTGGAGTTTGGGACGTTCTGCATGGCGCATCCCTCACACTCCCATTCCAGCGGGTTGGCGAGCGTGAGCATCCCCTCAGAGCCACGTTTAGCCCCTCGAGCGCGCACGTCGCGGTTGTGTATCACAACGGGGTGATACGTGTCTGGGACACGGCGACTAGACAGGAGCCTCTCCAAGTCTGTCAGGCACAAGGGTCCGACAACAATCTCGTATTTTCCCCGGACGTTCGGCTGCTGCTCTCAGTGTCGCGGGCCACGATGGTACAGATATGGGATACACACGCTGGCGCCATGGTCCAGTCTCTCGAAGGGCACGAGTGACGGGTGTGCAAGACATGCTTCTCCCCATGTGGGAAGTATGTCGCCTCTGCATCTGAAGACAAGACGGTGAGGGTGTGGAGGACGAGTGATGGATCGTGCTTGGCGACGCTCTCCGACCACGGTGACAGGGTCTGGCATGTTGCGTGAACTCCCGACGGGACGATGTTCTGGTCTGCGGCACGCAATGGGGCTGTCTTGGGTCGTCGATTACAAGACATCATCCCGGACGAACTCAGAATCTAGGTAGAGACATGTAGTGAACCGATGACGCCCGTTTTGATTCGCATCTCGTCCGTCTGCATCGAAGTGCATGTATGCTATCCGTCAGTGCTGCCTCTCGCCTACGGTCCTCTGTACAGCCTCGTTGATGGTCCGTACGACTTTACTGCAAGGGCATGAGAAGTAACTAGAACCCTCAGGGACCCCTCCTAGGAGTCCCTCTAGTTTGGGTGCCCTTTCCAATGAATATGATGCGTGTAGAGGGGTGAACAACGGAAATGCCTTGGATATGTTGTTGCGTTCCATATGTGACTGCGGGGTATAGCTACGCGGGTATGGGTGTCGGACCCGAAGACGCCGCCGACGGCATCGTGTCAGGCCCGTGGCGGTGATTAGCGGTGGGCGCGCAACCGGACCACACCGCCTTCCCAAACAAAGGAGTCATCTCACTGCCCTGAGAATCGTCATAAAGGCCTGATGTCTATGTAGTCATCGACAGGCGAAGGCTGTCCAGCTTTCCCATTGGACGTTCTGTATGGGTATTGCGGTAATGCCAACCCTTTGACAGCCGGCATTGACTCCTCTCCGTTCACCACAAACGGAACCACGAGCGGCGACGTGAGGCACGTCGTCAATTTTCCTCGACTTCGCACTCCAACAGGCAAGGAGCCTTCGCTGACCCGAAATCGGAGGAAACGCAGAAGACGATCTTGCGCTCGGATTTGAAATGACGGTCAATGCTGTTCGACTATCGCTGCCACGTCTCTGACTAGGACTGACTAGTACTGACTACTGACCAGCGTGCCAACGGCGTGGGACATCGCCACGACTCTGCACGCGAAGAATTTTTGCCATTACCTGTGTCGTTCGTACCTCATTGCTTTCTGAGTCTTTCATTGTCCCATCAGGTGGAACGTGTCAATCATCGTATCTGACCGGTATCAGCGCTCGACATCTATCGGGGTCTCTCAGGGTCTCTGTGGCGCATGGTGTGGTATAAGAACCAGCAGAGTCTATCCGAACTCACAACGCCCCTTCAAACATTTCCCTTCACATCATGGCTTCCACGAGCAGCTCTAGCAACAGCGACATTGAGCCTACCTCGTCCGTTGCGCCCACTCCTGCCACGACCGAGTCGTCCGCCGACCTCGCTCCCTTGAAGCTGGATGTGAAGTTCGTCGACTCACGATGGGAGGAAGAGTCGGATTCGTGGAAGTACAACGACACCACCAACCCTGACGTACCAGCTGAACAGGTGCAGCCCGTGGGCATTGAGACCACTGGCAACGACGACTGGGAAGACTTCTGCTTTGTGGTCGTACGCAAGTACTCGAGGTCGCAGGAGAAGTCGCAGCGAACAATCTCCTTCGAGATCGTCCTCAAAAGCCCGTATCTTGTGCAGGCGTGCCAAGATGTCATCGGCGACGTACGCAGTATCTCGTGGAACTCGGAACCGATCAAGGTGTGTGCTCACTTCCCGCGGATCTCTGGGTTTGTCGATTCTTAACACTCTTGTGCCCATTTCAGCTTGATCCCAAGATGCTCATCACGTATATGCCACGCTTCGAGGAGCACGAGAGGAAGCTTAGCTCTCGTACGGACCGCACGGAGGAAGACGATCGCGTGCTCAAGTCACTCGGGGTCCTTCTTGCGTACTTGCGCAAGAACTACAAACAGACACTCGCGCGCATTGCAAGCCTCACCAAGAATCACGAAATCACGTTCGACCTCCTCTACGCTATTCTCATCCCCGGAACGATCGTCATCAGACGTTGTCCCGTCACGCGGGAGACCCGAGCGATGAAGCTACTTCGTGCGGAGAAGTACGTCAACAACTGCGGACAAGAATACTGGCGGCTGGAGTGCGATGGGCTGGAGTGCGCGGCCGATGAGGATGACGAGGACGAGGACGACGTTGGGTGGAATGACGATGAGTCGAAGCGGTCGCGGAGGTTCGGCATGTCTGAAACCACCTCTCAGATCCGATGGTTCCCTGGCGTGGAGAAGATCAACATTTTGAGCGTTTTCCCGATTGAGTATCACCCCGACCCATCTGCGCTGAAGGCGGTACTGTTGGAACGTGCGCGCCGGTGGGTGTCCCTGTGTGGTGTGCACCACATGCACTACAAGGGGACGGCTGGCCGGCATGAGTGGGTCTCAGGCGACCTGAAGTTCAAGAGGTACGGAATCCGGTCGAGGGTCATGATCGACAAGGCTGGCCTCTCTCGCGTCGACGCAGACTACGAGCTCCCTACACCCGACAGGCTTTTCCCCGAGCGTCCAAACGACAATGGTGTGTATGGCCTCACGGACGATGAGCTGCTCCTGGCTTCTCCTATCCTCTACGGCTTCAGCTTGACGGACAAGCTTTGGCTTGAGTTCAACGTCAACCTTGTCACCCCCATTCTTTGGAACGACGAGGCTTTTGCGGGACTCGTGCTTCCCCCAGAGCGCAAGACACTTCTCCGCTCCCTCATCGAGGCACACAGACGCCTCAACTCTGGCGGTGCTGGTGGTTTCGATGATTTCGTGCGCGGGAAGGGTCAAGGTCTCGTCATCAACCTCTTCGGTCCACCGGGTGTCGGAAAGACGCTGTCTGCGGAGGCGACGAGCGAGCACCTCCGTCGACCACTTTACATCGTCGGTAGCGGCGACCTTGGTACGACGGCGCACGAACTCGACCAGGCGTTGGACGAAGCGTTCGACCTTGCGGCCGCGTGGAACGCGGTATTGCTCATCGACGAAGCGGACGTCTTTCTCGAGCAACGCTCGCTGCATGACATGGAGCGTAACGCGATGGTCGCCGTCTTCCTCCGGCACATCGAGTACTATCGAGGCATCCTCTTCCTCACCACAAATCGCATCAAGACGTTTGACGAGGCTTTCCTCTCCCGCATCCACGTCGCGCTCCACTTTAACGAGCTCACCGTGCCGACCAAAGTCCAGATCTGGCGCGCGTTCTTGCGCAAGGCGGGCCTTGACCAGGCAGAGCTGTCGGAAGAACTGCTGACCAAGCTCGCGCAGCGCGACATCAACGGGCGGCAGATCAAGAACGCGTGCAGGACGGCAACGTCGCTCGCGATCAGCCGTGGGGAGCAGATGCGCTACGAGCATCTCACGGAAGCGTTGAACGCAATGGAGGAGTTCATGACGGAGTTCGCGGCGATCTCGCAGGCGAACGATTGAGCATTAGTGCACACAAAGCAGCTCCCGGACAAGTTGTAGCTGTACCGCATTTGGAACATCGTATGACACACATATCTGTCATGTCTACACACATATCATAGACGTTGTATATACCCTCCATGTTCGTCTTTGTTTGTAGCTCCATCGGGCCGTAATTTCACACGTTGAGCCCCTGTGCCTCATCCCGAACGTTTCCTGAGGACTAGGGTCCTATAGTATCCGAGCTAGCGCAGGCTGCGTTTCTCGTCAAGGTAGCTTGACAAGATGTCGCGTACTGGTCTGTAGTGAATTGGCGTCTCGGCGACATCGCCGGTCTCGATCCCTAAGCCCACAGAACTACGAATTTCGGAATGTGTCCAAGTACAGATAGAACTTAGTATATCAGGCGACGTACCCGTGTGCGGTGTATAGCCTGTAGGCGGGAATGGGTTGTTGCGAGGGTGGTGCCGTTACCCGTATCGGAGTTCATGATGCCAATCCAACGACTGCAGTACGGGGGTAAGTAGGGGCAAATAGTCTGGTTAGGATATGTTCCATAGCAGTACAACGTACAGTGGACGAAAACCTACAAATGAACGGGACAAAGATAGTGACGTATGGTACAGCGCAGAGTCCCTAACAACAACGTGTAGCATCTGAACTAACGAGCAATAGATTGGATATGATAACGACCCCAGAGCATGCAATTGATACAGGTGGAAGACTCGGCCAACAACGCACAACCAAGAATAAACGCACTCGATAACCAAGGAGGACACACTGGCCGAGAGATATGTAGCCCTAGCTAACAGACTCAAACTAGCTCGAAGAACTGCGGCAGCTTCGCCCAGAACTCCCGCCTGAACGCCTCGATCCTCGCCACGATCGCCCGGCCACAATCCGCACACACCCCATGCCGCGCGCACTGTCCGGCCACGTTCGGCACGACGCCCGCCCACTCCTCGAGCGGCTCGCGCCCGGGCGGTATCACGCTCGCGTCGTTGGTGCCCAGTAGCAGCTTCGGCACCATGGTCGCCCAGAGCTGCGAGGCCCCGGTGAGGCAGCGCAGGCGCGCGTGCGCGCCGTCCATCCCCTGGTGGTGCGGGAGCGGATCGAGCGTGGGGACCGCGACGGCGAACGCGGCGTGGTGCGCGCGCACGCGCTCGATGCCCACGACGAGGCGCTCCATGTCGGCCGCGGCGAGCGGGGCGAGGTGGTGGCCGAGCGCGGCGCCCCCGAATTGCCAGGTCGTGCGCGAGAGCGCGTAGAAGAGCGGGAAGAAGAGCGTGGGGTCCGCGTAGCCGCACTCGCGGAGGAGGCCGATCACGCTCGCGGGGTGCACGATGAGGTCTTCTTTGTCTTCTGAGGGCGCTGGTGAAGGGGAGCCGTCGGGGTTTGGAGGAGCTGCGGCGGGGGCGGGGGCGGGGGCGGGGGCGTTGGACGGGCCGGCGACGGGTTGTGCGGCGTGCATGGGTCCGCCGACACCACCGCCTCTGCCAACGCCATGTATCTGCATCGGTTCACCCATTCCACCTCGAACGGGACGCATGCGACCCGCGAAATGGCGAGCCTGAATCGCATCATTGTTGTTCGCCCCGACGGGCCAGAACTGCCACTGCTGCCGATCCAGCCCATGTATGAGTCGTTGTTGGGCCGCGTCGAGCATCGCGCCCCCATGCCGCTGCTGCGGTGGGGGAAAGTGCTGGTAGTGAGGCTGGAGGTGCATTGCGTTGTTCGCGCCGAAATTGTCAGCGAAATGGTCCTGGTGCTGCTGGGGCTGGGGCTGATGCTGCGGCGCCTTGACGTCCTCCGCCATCTGCCACTGCCCGAGTCGCCTGGCGCGCTCCGCTCTGAGCTTGGCCTCTTTGGCGTCGTGCTGCGCGAGGGTGGCGGGCCACTCGGCGCGGATGCGCGCGACGATGTCCTCGGCGGGCTTCTCGACTTCGTACTGCTTCGACATACGGAGGAGCGTCGCGAGCGTGGGGAACGTCTCGACGGTCAGGTCTTGCACGTCGTAGCGCCTGCACGACCAACATGACAAAGGCAAAGGCGTGAACTTAGCTTGAGATCGGGCCACCGTGACCTCGCAGAGAGGCGCACTGTCCGACAGGACGGAACAGAGGACTTACAGGCCGTCGTATATCACGCCAAGCAACGCCTCTAGGTCCTCGCGCGTCTCCTCCATCGTAATCTGGGTGAGGCCCCGGAAGCGATCATGCTTCTGCTCGAACAGCTCGCGGAAGACGGGGGAGTGCTTGGAGAGGAGCGAGCGGTGCACGCAGAAGAGGGTGCGTCCCGTCGTGAGTATGACGTTCCCATCGTCGAAATAGAGCGTGGGGTGGTTGACGAACGGCTTCTCGTCGACGTCCGGCGAGTCTGCTGCGGTGTCCGACTCGTCGGGCTCCTCGAGCTTGGGGCGTTTCCTGCTGGGCCCGGGATCTGTCATCGTGAAACGGCGCTGCAACTAGGTTGCTCCGGCGGTGGCGATGGCGATGGCGCGTCGGGAGACGGGGAGAAGTGTAGGAGATGTGAGGTGGCGTCAGGCTTGGATGGAAGAGGTGTGTTTGTACTGCTGCTGAGTCGAGGAACCGCAAGACCCTGGTGCAAGGAAATGATCAAATCCGCTTGCGGCGCCTACGATAAGCTATGCCGGTACGGGACTGCGGCACTTGCGGCGCCGCAAAAAGAGAGGACATTGAGGTTCCGAGAAACCAGACAGTAGAGTCGGCACATACACGAGTACAGCGAGGACGGCATGCGCCACGATGAGCCCCTGAGTATCTGTCTACGAGTACGTAGGCTCCAGCGTCCGAGTATGAGTGCGCTGGGAGTGTAGTAACGAAGGTACATAGCATCGTTCGCCGCTCACCTCTATTGACGCAACAGCACAAGTGGGCAAACTCTGATCCATGGATAGTATGGCTTTCGGGTGAACTTCGCTGGACTGAGTAAGTTTTCATCTTTATAGGCTGCGAACGAAAACAAGAGAGTACAAGTTGCACAATGCTACATTGTCCCCAGGGCCCAAATAAAGCAAGTGTTCGCCTTTAAGGTAGTAACAGATAGAGCCCGAAGGGAACCTGTTCTGGGAGATATTGGACTGGTTCACGGATTGATTTGGAGCGCGACTGCGCAGCTACTGGGTCGTACTCGATGTTTCTCGGGCGAAGTGAGCTCGACTGAGAAGCAAGCGGTGGCCGTCTCCTGCCAAGCTGGTGGACGTTCTCAAAACGCCTGGAGGCGAGGAATCATGAGGTGCCAATTAGCCTCCATTGTCAGGATCGGGATGAGCAGGTAGCCAACGGCAGCAGGTTCCATGGGCGGGCAGTCATCGCGCTGCTCGCCGAGGCAACGACATGGCGAAGAGACGAGAGAGATGAGGCTGACTGGTAGGTCCTCGAGCGCATACTACATACATAGTATAGTCTTGACGTCGATGGGTCAACAACGCGACATGTGCCGATCGCTTTCGGGCGCTTCGCTCTGGCGGCATTCCCAGGGGCTCCACTGTCATGGCCCGATTGGGACAGAATGGCGTCCAGAAATGGAGAGCGCGGGCTGGGGCAGGGCCTGGGAGCGTGACGCAGGTGTGTGCGCAGAGATTGGGAGGCATGGGCTGACCTTGCCGCTCGCAGCGGCCATCGCTCTTCCTTCCTCCACCGCCTTCTCTCTCGCCATCCTCTCCTCCTTCGTCGTTGCGTCCAGCGACCGGAGCCTTCGCCATTCCCATCATGGCCTCCCGTCCTGGTCCTCGCAGCCAGGAGGGCATGTATGTCCCCTCGTCTCCCCCCTCCTCCGACCCTCATGATCCCTTCCACCAACCCGTCCAAATGCCCGAGCCTCACCGCTATTACGACAACGACTCGGAACGATACGACAGGCAGCGAGATACCTACGCCTCAGATGGCAGTCAGGGAGACGACGATAGGTACTACGAGCACGGCGGGGCCTACGACTACAGTGCGTCTCACAATCCTCCGATGTTCGCCCTCATTACCCATGCTTACGCTCTGCAGCCCAACCGGACACAGACTCGGACATGGATGTGTACGGCCAGAAATACGTACCCTCGACCGAGTCGCTCGGCCCACCGCGTATGGGAATCTCAGAGTCCTCAACCCCGACATTCGTCGACCACAACGGCGTCTCTGTCCGAGAACCGTACCCTGCATGGAGTTCCGAGCGCCAGATACCGCTGTCCAAGGAAGAGATCGAGGATGTATTCCTGGACCTCACGCAGAAGTTCGGATTCCAGCGGGACTCGATGAGAAACATGGTGAGTACGTTTCCACTCTCTCACGGGCCAAGCCCGACCGAGCCTCGTTCGCCCCGGCTTCCCTCTCGACCCTGCCTCCTCCCCGGTCTCCCCGCTCCCTTACTCGCGTCGGCGTTCAGTGTAAATTGAACGCCATGCGTAGTGCACGCGCTCCGTTCAGCGTGGCGCCGTGGATGCACGGGGCAGTCTGGTTGGTCGAGCGGACCATTTGCATCGCATGTGCCTTTGACAGGCGTTCTCGCGTTCATAACTGCGGACCGCTGAGGCACGCCCATCCGCTTGCCGAAGACTCCCTATCCTTATGCGGCGTGACTGAAGAAACTTTGGTGTGCGCTCTGGTGATTGAAACCGGTGGGCTCATTTTTGGATGGGATGCCTTCGCCGCCCCTCGGTCGGTCTCGGTTGACGGCGCTGAACGCCCGCCGAGGGTAGTGAAGGTGGAATTGATTGAACATGTTTCGTCAGCGAGGGGAGGGCTTGTCAGGGGAAACGCGGGGAACACTGCCCGATGTGTTAGATATCACTCACGCTGACGCTTGTCAACCCAGTTCGACTTCGTAATGCAACTTCTCGATAGCCGCGCATCGCGAATGTCGCCCAACCAAGCACTCCTGACTCTCCATGCGGACTATATCGGTGGCCAGCACGCGAACTATCGCAAGTGGTATTTCGCGGCCCAGCTCGATCTGGACGATGCGATTGGCTCGACGCAGAATCCAGGCCTACAGCGGCTGAGGTCCCAGAAGCGCAAGTCAAGGGGCCACAAGGCCGCGGAGAGACAGCTGCACAGTGCGCTTGACCGGTGGCGGCAGGCGATGAACAACATGAGCCAGTACGACCGGATGCGCCAGATCGCGCTCTGGCTGCTGCTCTGGGGCGAGGCTGCGCAGGTGCGGTTCGTGCCCGAGTGCTTGTGCTTCATCTTCAAGTGCGCGGACGACTACTACCGCTCGCCCGAGTGCCAGAACCGGATAGACCCCGTGCCGGAGGGTTTGTACTTGCACGCCGTCGTGAAGCCGCTGTACCGGTTCATCCGGGACCAGGGGTACGAGGTCGTCGATGGCAAGTTCGTGCGCAAGGAGAAGGACCACGACCAGATTATCGGGTACGATGATGTCAATCAACTGTTCTGGTATCCTGAGGGTATTGCACGGATTGTCTTAACTGACAAGGTAGGTTCATGCGTGTGTCGCGCATCTAGGCGTGGATGTTAAAGTCTTTTGTAGACGCGCCTGGTCGACCTCCCACCATCGCAGCGGTTCATGAAGTTTGACCGGATAGACTGGAACCGCGTCTTCTTCAAGACGTACTTCGAGAAGCGTTCCTTCGGCCACCTGCTCGTCAACTTCAACCGGATATGGGTCATACACGTATCCATGTACTGGTTCTACACGGCGTATAACTCCCCGACAATTTACAATGGCGACAAGTCCTCGGCTATGCGCTGGTCCGCTACCGCTCTCGGCGGCGCCGTCGCTACTATCATCATGATCGCAGCCACGCTCGCTGAGTTCTCGTACATACCCACCACCTGGAATAACACGTCTCACCTTACGCGCCGGCTTATCTTCCTTGTCATCACGCTCGCGCTCACAGCTGGTCCCACGTTCTACATCGCGATCGCGGAGTCAAATTCTCCCGGTGGCTCGCTTGCGCTCATCCTCGGCATCGTCCAGTTCTTCATCTCAGTCGTCGCGACGCTACTGTTCGCCGTCCTGCCCTCGGGCCGGATGTTCGGTGACCGCGTCGCGGGCAAGTCGCGCAAGTACCTCGCGAGCCAGACGTTCACGGCCTCCTACCCGTCGCTGACCTCGTCGGCGCGGATAGCGTCCCTCTTCCTGTGGTTCCTCGTGTTCGGGTGCAAGCTGACGGAGAGCTACTTCTTCCTGACGCTGTCGTTCAAGAACCCGATCCGGGTCATGGTCGGGATGCAGATCCAGGGCTGCAACGACAAGTACTTCGGGAACGCGCTGTGCAGGAACCAGGCGGCGTTCACGCTCACGATCATGTATCTCATGGACCTGGTGCTCTACTTCTTGGACACGTTCCTGTGGTGGATCATCTGGAACACGGTGTTCTCGATCGGGAGGAGCTTCGCGCTGGGGTTGTCGATCTGGACGCCGTGGAAGGACATCTACACGCGGCTGCCGAAGCGCATTTACTCGAAGATCTTGGCTACGGCGGATATGGAGACCAAGTACAAGCCCAAGGTTTGACTCACACTTCAGACCTACCAGCGTTTGTTGCTGACGCACGTTGTAGGTTCTTGTCTCACAGATCTGGAACGCGATCATCATCTCAATGTACCGGGAGCACCTGCTCTCGATCGAGCACGTTCAGAAGTTGCTGTACCATCAGGTCGATGCACAGGACGGCCGTCGCAGCCTGCGCGCGCCCGCGTTCTTCATCTCGCAAGGGGACAAGGGCTACCGCGGCCAGTTCTTCACGCCCGGAAGCGAGGCGGAGCGGCGCATCTCGTTCTTCGCCCAATCGCTGACTACCGCCGTCCCGGAGCCGCTTCCTGTCGATGCCATGCCGACGTTCACCGTATTGACGCCGCACTACAGCGAGAAGGTACGTTCATCTCCTCGAATGAGGCATGCTAGGGTGTTGGACGGGACCGAGCTAACGCAATCTCCGCATTTGGTAGATCTTGCTCTCTCTGCGCGAGATCATCCGCGAGGAGGACCAGAACACGCGTGTCACGCTCCTCGAGTACCTGAAGCAGCTGCACCCGGTCGAGTGGGACAACTTCGTCAAGGACACCAAGATCCTCGCGGAGGAGTCGCAGATGTACAACGGCGCGAACCCATTCGGCGACGAGAAGGGTCAGTCCAAGACAGACGACCTGCCGTTCTACTGCATCGGCTTCAAGTCTGCCGCTCCCGAATTCACGCTCCGTACGCGTATCTGGGCTTCCCTACGCGCGCAGACGCTCTACCGTACTGTGTCCGGCATGATGAACTACGCGAAGGCAATCAAGCTCCTCTACCGCGTCGAGAACCCCGAGGTCGTGCAGCTCTTTGGCGGGAACACGGACAAGCTCGAGCGCGAACTGGAGCGTATGGCGCGTCGCAAGTTCAAGTTCGTCGTCTCCATGCAGCGCTACGCCAAGTTCAATCGCGAGGAGCAGGAGAACGCCGAGTTCCTGCTGCGTGCGTACCCTGACCTGCAAATCGCGTACCTCGAGGAGGAGCCCCCTCGCAAGGAGGGTGGTGACCCGCGCCTGTTTTCTTGCCTTATTGACGGGCACTCTGAGTTCATCCCCGAGACCAGCCGTCGGCGCCCTAAGTTCCGCATCGAGCTTCCTGGCAACCCCATTCTTGGTGACGGAAAGTCGGACAACCAGAATCACGCGATCATCTTCTATCGTGGGGAGTACCTCCAGCTCATCGACGCGAACCAGGACAACTACCTCGAGGAGTGTCTCAAGATCCGGAACGTGCTTGCCGAGTTCGAGGAGTACGCGGTGTCGAGCCAGAGCCCGTACGCGCAGTGGGGCCATAAGGACTTCAAGAAGTCGCCCATCGCGATCGTCGGGGCGCGCGAGTACATCTTCTCGGAGAATATCGGTATTCTTGGTGACTTAGCTGCGGGCAAGGAGCAGACGTTCGGTACGCTCGCGGCGCGCTCGCTCGCGTGGATCGGCGGCAAGCTGCACTACGGTCATCCGGATTTCCTCAACGCGCTGTTCATGACGACGCGCGGGGGCGTGTCGAAGGCTCAGAAAGGTTTGCACCTCAACGAGGATATCTACGCTGGTATGAACGCGTTCGGGCGTGGAGGCCGCATCAAGCACACGGAGTACTACCAGTGCGGTAAAGGACGTGATCTCGGCTTTGGTACGATCTTGAATTTCCAGACGAAGATCGGGACGGGTATGGGCGAGCAGATGCTCAGTCGGGAGTACTACTACCTCGGGACGCAGCTGCCGATCGACAGGTTCTTGACGTTCTACTACGGTCACCCCGGTTTCCACATTAACAACATGCTCGTCATCCTGTCAGTGCAAATCTTCATCGTCACGAGTAAGTATCCTACTGGCGGTTTTGGTGAGGATGTGGAGAAGCTCAACGTTGATTTACAGTGGTGTTCTTGGGCACGTTGAACGGCCAGCTCAAGCTCTGCCAGTACTCGAAGTCCGGACAACTCCTTGGCCCCACCGGCTGCTACAACCTCACGCCAGCCTTCCAGTGGATCGATCATTGTATCATCAGTATCTTCTTGGTGTTCATGATCGCGTATCTGCCACTCTTCTTGCAAGGTATGTAAACTCTACTCACATGTCTTAGACCGAAGTAACGACCTCGCCGACACAGAACTCGTTGAGCGTGGCACGATAAAGGCTGTCTTCCGCCTTGCGAAGCACTTCGGATCCCTCTCGCCCGCCTTCGAGGTATTCTCGACCCAGATCTACTCGCACTCGATCATCACAAACATGACTTTCGGTGGCGCGCGTTACATTGCCACTGGCCGTGGTTTCGCGACTACGCGTATCTCGTTCGCGATCCTATACTCGCGTTTCGCAGGTCCAAGTATCTACCTGGGCATGCGCACGCTGGTCATGCTGCTCTACGTGACGCTGACGATTTGGACCGGATGGGTGACGTACTTCTGGGTGTCTATCCTCGCGCTATGCGTTTCGCCGTTCTTGTTCAACCCGCACCAGTTCTCGCCTGCGGACTTCATCATCGATTATCGGTATGTGTACATCCTTGTCATTGCGTATCTTGTTCTAACGAACACTTCAGCGAGTTTTTGCGTTGGATGAACCGCGGCAACTCTCGGGCCCACGCCAACTCTTGGATCGGGTACTGCCGTCTCTCGCGTACGATGATCACTGGATACAAAAAGAAACGTTTGGGACACCCGTCCGAGCGTCTGTCTGGCGATGTCCCTCGTGCGAAGTGGCGGGCGGTCATTATTTCGGAGGTCATTTTCCCGATTGTCATGGCCATCTTATTCGTCATTGCGTACATGTTCGTCAAGTCGTTCCCCGACAAGAATGGCAAGCAACCTCCAAGCCCGCTTATCCGGATTGCAATCGTCTCCATCGGCCCTATCGTGTGGAACGCAGCTGTCCTGCTCGTCCTGTTCTTGTTCTCGCTGTTCCTCGGGCCAATGCTCGACACACCTTTCCCTAAGTTCGGCTCGCTGATGGCGTTCCTTGGGCACACCCTTGGCGTCATTGGCATGATAGCGTTCTTCGAGTTCTTCGTAAGTGACATAGTATCGTGCCCTTAACATCCGTTGCTAACCACTGTTACTCCGTACAGTGGTTCCTGGAGCTGTGGAACGTGGCACATGCCGTGCTCGGTCTCATCACGATCATCTTCATCCAGCGCGCTGTTAACAAGGTGCTCATCTCCGTCTTCCTCTCTCGTGAGTTCAAGCACGACGAGACGAACCGCGCATGGTGGACCGGCAAGTGGTACGGCCGTGGCCTCGGCTCGCACGCCATGTCGCAGCCGGCGCGCGAGTTTGTCGTGAAGATCATCGAGCTGTCGCTCTGGAGTTCGGACTTCCTCATGGGCCATATTTTGATGTTCATCTTGACGCCGCCCGTGCTGATTCCGTACATGGACCGTTTTCATTCGATGATGCTCTGTGAGTCCCGTTCTAATGTCGTGTTGGGACCAGTGGCTGACATGCGCGCATGTAGTCTGGTTGCGGCCGTCAAAACAGATTCGTGCGCCGCTATACTCTATCAAGCAGAAGCGGCAACGTAGGTGGATCGTCATCAAGTACGGCGTGATTTATGTGCTGGGATTTGCCGTCTTCGGGGCATTGCTTGCACTCCGTGAGTACACTTACTGGTTTTCCTCTGGAACGCATGCTGAACGCCTTGGTGTCTAGCGCTTGCTTTCCGCGATCACCTCACAATCAGCTGCAGCATTTGCCAGGGCATCTGATGGACTACAGTTACGACTCATCATATCATAGAATATTTCCATTGTACGTTGAACGACCCATTGCCCACCTACATACTTGTGTACTACCCGGACTTTCACATCTTGTCTCCTGAAAGAGATGGACAATTCGTTAGTAACGTACTTTTACTCTGCCTGCCAGCCCCTGGTACCTAGTCCTAGGAGCCCAAGCCCAGCCTGCAGCTCTCCTCCGTACCCCATGTTCTGCCGTTGATGTTGACGCTGATTCGGAAGACTCAGATTCGGACCTCCATATCATACCATATCACTGCCGGTCTCTCGCTCACCCTGCACACGAGGATGCCGCTCGTACCGTCTCGCACCTTTGACGCACATCCTGAGATGTTTATGAACGCTTACATGTCTTGCACCGCATTGTAATCTCATGTGCCTACCCAAAATCGACTCGGATGCTTCTGCCATGCGCCTCAGTCGCTCTGATAGCAGGAGGGCATGCTACCGGGCTAATTGGCGAGAGAATCTTCGCTACCACATCTCATTCTCATGCCGACGAGTCGCTGACACAGGGACCACAGGGCAAGTCCAATTGATATGACCATCTCGTGCAAATGTAGATATATAAGTTAACAGTCGAGGGCCATATCTAGAAAGAACACTAGTACGGGGGTTGGGGGAGAAAGCAGATACGCTTCTCACGCCTTCCGGATCAATATCAACCTGCAGCTGTCGTCATCAGACCCCTGCCTCGCCCCTCCTCCTGTCTTCCAGGAGATCGCACCGGCAGACGATGGAGAATGTTGTGATGGGAGCAGGTCAGGGACTTGGAGGTGTGGTCGGCACATTCAGTAAGTCGCCGCGCGGACGCCAAACCCCTCGGGGCCGGCCGACTCTGGATATATGTGTCTTCGTGGGACTGCGCCGCCCTCGACGGAAGGGCACCGGCATACTCCACGTCACTTTCCCTTGCCTGCATGAAGAGTGAGTGACCGCGATAAGTGTACAATAGAGGGTGAACGCTATGGTTAGCATAGTGCTTTGCGTCTACTGAGCGCTCTGACAGCTATAGCAATCTATACATGTTTCAATGATAAATATGGTTAGACAAACATCTTACTGATGTTCATAAACCGAGCACATGAACTGCATAACGGACTCCCAACCCCGCTCGAGTACAACGGCACCCGGTGGTAGTAGGCGAATGAGCGTTTTGGGGTCAATCCGACCGCGATTGCGATCCCACTCGTCTAGTGCAAGCCTGCATACATGGATATCCAAGCGTGGAAAGAGATCGAGTATGTACCGAGCAAACCCCTCGAGTTTCGGGTTTGAGAGGCGAGATCTGGGTAGGGAAACGAATGCCTTGACACTCAAGCGTTGTAGCCCGTGAGGTGGGATATCTGCCGACGGAGCGGGGATCGAGTGGACGCCGATGATAGGGCAGCTGAGAGAGGGGAGCGAGACCTCTCGGAGGTTGGGGCAGTAACGGTAGAGGTGGTAGAGTGCTGAAGCGGGGATGGGCTTGGAACAAGTCACACCGTCCATGCGAAGGCGCTCCAGCTTCGGCCATGCCTGGGTGAGCAAGCCGATGTCTTCGTCGTCCACACTCCAGTACAGGGTATTCCACGAAGATAAGGAAAACGAGCGCATCTCGCGAAATGGGAGGATGGGACCCGACCAGCCGCGGAGCGCGCCCGGGACATATTCACAATGGAAGGAGAGTTCGAGGCTCTGGAGAGAGCTGGGTGACACAGCAGCGCCGAAAGTTGCCAGGAACAATACCACGTCGCCAGCTACGAGACGCCTCGTTGGAGAAGATGTGGCGCGGATCTTCGCAGCCTTTAGCGCTTGGAATTGAACAGACTGAAAGAGACAGGTAAGTGTGGCCATCCTTCCCTCGATCGACAGCTCGCACAGGCTGGGGGCCGCAATCGGCTGCGATAATCCGGCCCATGGACCGATTATACGGAATACTTCGACAGAGGCGATGTTGGGTTTCGTCACAAGGTCTCGCAATAGAGAGAACTGAGAGAGGTGAGTGACTTTGACGTTGCGAAGACATTCGAAAGCAACGAGCTCCTGAACAAGCGATGATTCAGCGTCAGGCGTGTCTTTCCAGTACCAATCGATGGCTATGCTGTCCAAGAATGGAGAAACCTCCCGAAATCTCCGGAGCAGCTGAGGAGTAGCGATATCTGAGTCGTCCTGGTGAGTGAACAGGAAGCTCGCCTCGTGCAGAGTCCTCGTGAAGAGGGACACGAGGACCGAGGCTTGGGCTCGGGTTCCCCCCAGACATTTTATTCGGCGCAGGCCAGGAAGAATAGATCTTCCTCCGTTCTTGACAGCAACGGCTTGAAGAAGGACGCATCCCGCTTCGCGAAGTTCCAGTTCGACAAGGTCCAATTCAAGTTCTTTCAATCCTAGGAGCCTTTCTCTTTCTAGAAAGGTGTAGGCATCGATGCATAGCTGGCGGACGTGGGCAGCGTGCCACAAGAAGCGGTTCCATCGTACGGGGTCCTCGTACAGCCGAGCGGAAATCACCTGCATTATCTAGTCAGAGGTGTATAGTGTGCATCGAGGAAACACATCGTACTGGCTCAAGATAGTTCCATTCAGGACATTCGCTAGGACCAGGGATATCAACCTCTTCCGGAGCCAGAAGCTGCCACAAAGGAGGCAGCCCAGGCATGTTTCTCCACACAACACGAACAGTGGGCTCGTGGAACGCGTGACAGACAGTCGCACATTCGGCTACATTCCAGCATTTGCGACCCGGATCTAACGGCTTTGGGAGGTGCATTAGTATGGCGTAGATGATATCGCCATTAGCAAGGACTTGACTGGACGCTAAAGGCATTGTCGACGACAACACTGCGTAGACACCCGTCAACGTGTTTAGGGCTTAGATGTCAATATATTTGCACTCACACGGTCAGCCTGGTACCAAACCAAGCAATATAGAGCTTTTGACGCGCCAAAAGAGTTGCAATTGTGCAAAGTGTGAAGCGTTGAGTTGAGTGAGGTGGCAAGATCTCAAGGTCGAAGCATGATCGTGCCAAGCGCCTGGCGGTCCGCAGACGTCTGGCGTCACACTGTGACTGGAGTATTGTGACTGGGGACACAGATCACAAGGCGACTTGGCACACCTTTGCAAGACTTTTGAACGGCACCTCGACTTCGGAGAAGAGCGTAAGTACTGTCCATCGTGCAGTGCGACCCCCTTGCTCCGTTGAGGTTCCACTTCCCCTGCCCTCTCGTCCCAACCGTCGCTACAACCAAAAGTTCCTGCCAGCTTTGAGCTCAGCATCGTCGGGTCGCGCTTGCCCGTTAGAAGGTCATTCGGACTACGCTGTCCCGCCCGATGGTCAGGAGTGTTTAGATCCATATCGGATCCCATGCGAAGGGGTTTCAGTATGCGAGTTCGTGAGTCTTCCTTCATCGTTCTTACATTTTTGCGCTTCCGGGATTGATGGTATTGCCATCAAGGACCTCTGGAACTACCTTCGCGAGAGGAGGCTACGATAGTGAGAAGTAGCCAACAAGGTGCGTCGTGTGCAGGTTTTCTTCATGCGGGCGCGGCTGCGGAATGGATTTCCACAGTGGGATATCACTCCATTCTGTCGCTGTTTTGTGCGGGAATGGCTGTGCAGTAACGTTGCCCCATTCCTTGTTACCACCGTCCCATATACATGTATATACATTGAGCCACATACGCGATAGCAATATTGCACGGGAGTGCTCTACCCTGCATCCCAGCCCTACGCCTCAATATTGCAGTGAGCTTCGTCGGTCAAGGTCCAAATTTAAGGTATACATACGACGTATCAAACTATCTCGCATTGTCAGAAGGTATGTACAAATCTCCGGTCGTCCCGGTCAGGCGCGATTGCCATCGAGACTAGGTGGAGGTACACATCAGGTAAAGGGGCCGGAACGCGACGTTACTAAGGCGAATACACACAGAACAAACATACGGTGGTCCACCAAGATATTGGTCATCAACCTTGGAGTCGTTGGTCATCAACCTTGGAGTCGTCGGGAAAGCAGTCCCAGCGACACGCCTCCCATGCCCTCCAAGTCGCCATCGACTTCCCCGCCATACGACTCCGAGCGCGCTCCGCGCTGCCCTCCGAAGCCTGCCTCCGGCCCCCCCGCGCTGCCCTCCGAATCGAGCATACCAAGACGTGCATCGTCAATGGTGCTACTATCGCCGACTCCGCTACCCTCGGCCTCGGCCTCGATATCCTGCGCGGCCTTTTCATCGTCAGCGCCCGACGCCTGAAGCTCTTCTGCATGGGCCGACTCGAGCGACGTGGGAGCTGTGTCCTGCAGCGTCTCGGTGACGACTTCGACGCGCAGGATGTAATGCGATGGCGCTGCCCAGTTGAAGCCGAGCTGCATGGTGAGGTGCATTGCGGCGAGAGTGAAGGCGACATTCTTCTTGGACAGCGACAAGAGCCATGGCTGATACCGCACACCGCCCCTATTCGACCACTGTACAGAGGTAGAATCCCCTTCTATTATCCCAGCGGAGCCAAGAGCGGCTCGCAATACCTTGACGTCTGCCTTGATCTTCAACCGCTGACCATCGTCCTCGTCCTTGAGAGTATGTCGGTATTCGATGGCGATCATGTGGTCGTCGTGGCAAAGCGTGAGCCAGTGAGTAGTCGGATGGTCCTCATCCGGCCCTCGGAGTTCCGCCGTGTATCCTTCAGCACGTAGAGCGTCGCGAGCCTTCCTCGGCAGCATAAAGTTGAGAGTCTGGTGCCGCTGACAGAGAGCATGCTCTGAGCGTGCGGTAGCGTGCTCCGGCTCGGAGATGTACACAGTTTTCACCTCAATGTGCTCGCGACAGCGCGCGATGGTTGCCGGCGACAAGGGAAAGAGTTCGGGGTTATAATGCCCGCGCTTTGGTGCAGGTCTGATTGTCAACCATCCATAGCGCAAGCATTCAACGCCGGACTCGGAGGGAGGGACGTAGCAGACTTGCCCGAGAAGAGCGCCAGGGTAGTCCTCGTGTTCGCACCCGAGGATGACCAGGTACCAATGGCATAGAAGGGAACCATAATACCCTGTGGGCCGCTCTGGAAGTGCGATTAAAAGCGGTACGAGGGGTAGCTTGGTGCGAAGACCGTGCGAGGTGGAAGTGTATTTGGGAACTGGGAGGTCCTCGACTCTGAGCCGACGGAACACATCGTAGTGAGGAATGGCTTTGATCTTTCCCCCTGCCCAAAACTCGCTGATGTGTTGACGCAATGGTGCTATACCTTCAAACAACGTCCACAATTCAATCGACTGAGCATTCTCTAGGGCCTGGACAAGATCCTGATCGGGTCTGCAGTCACCATAGATATGCCGGTTCCACGCAAAGAGACTCAGGTCGGGAACGTGCCGCACAATCTCCTCCTGCAGCCGCCGGAATGCCCGAGATCCCTCGCCATAGAGCGTGGGCATGTTGATGTTGAAGATTCCCAGCAGTGAGTACGCTCGGTCCTCCTCCCGCGTCGTCTGCCGCCGCGCTGCCCACGAGAGGCGCTGGGCCACGCTGAACTCGTCGAGTGACTTCACGTGCAACAGAGCCTGACGAGGGATACCCGTGATCTCCTCGATGAGGTCAAAGAGCGTGAACTTCGTGCCAATTTCCGTCCAGTCATCTGCGAGGAACTTCACGCCGGAAGGGGCAATGAGCTCCTGGAGCGTCCACCCGCGCTTGTGCCATTGGCTCGAGCAGAACGCGGATTTGTCCTTACGGGGGTCTTTGTTGGATGGAACATCAGCGAGGTACGCGTAGCACATCTTCGCAAGGCTATACCACAGGAACATCGAGTTGATCGACTCCGTCAACTCGGAGCTGCTCGTCTTGTCGATGCAACAAGAGTCGATCCAGAGATATCGGTACCCGGCCTCGCGCGCCACCCTGCATGCTTCTCGGATCTTAGATGAGAGATCCGGGTCGTCCCAGATCGAGAAGACACCGATGATGGTCGCGAAGATCGCTGAGAGGAGCGAGACACCTAGGATGGAAACGAGTAGGGCCCAGAATGACGAAGAGTCGAGAAGGACGGGGACGCTGAACGAGGTGTCCTCGATGATCGCAGACAAGATCCAGATCCACCAGACGTAGTGAACCACTGTAGTATGATAGACGATGAACCGAAGCGTGGATAGTGTGGCAGGGTGATGAGCCAGACAGCGCTGCATACGGTTGTGGTGAGGCAGGAAAGGTGCGAAGAATTTGCTGATAACCCGGATCTTTTCAAGTGCCCTGCGCGTGACAGAGACGGGGAGTCTCGAGAAGTATAGCCGACCTCGTGCATCATAAGACCTCTGGATGCCTCGGAGTCCCTGGTGCGACTGTTCAACATCGTTCCACCTATGCGATAGGATGGCGTATTCGGTGTGCTTAGGGTCCTTCTCCACAAAGTGGCCTGTCCTCGTATCGAGTAGCCTTATCTTCATGCTGATCTTCGGGGGGATAGACAATCACCATCAGCGACACGCACCTCAAGGCTTCGGAGAAATACTCACAGACTATCCAGTCAATTGCTGCCGCCGTCGCGCTTAATCAATGCAGAGTACACAATGTCGCGGAGGTAGTGTTAGTCCTAAATATGGTCAGCTTCGGCGATGGGACAGACGACGAGCAAAAATTACCTGAGGGAAGAGAACGCTGAGGCCTGCCCGTGACGGAGCATCTCTATGGGGCTTTTATTGGACTTCCAGGCTTGCCGCGTGTTGAGGGCGGTGGTAGCTTCGAATCGGGGCGGTGCTACACGTCCCTAGTAGCGCGAGACGCGCGAGAACTATGTCCAGTCCGGTCGACAATTCTACTTACAAGCACAAGTCGTGGATGAACGTGATGGCCACCCGTCCCTTGGTGAGGGGCGCGCGGTGCACTTCGGCTCGGACATCTCCACATCTATAGCCGGGGGCGCCAACCTGAAGGGTATCGCAAGGACCGCACACGAGGTTTGCCAGTTCACCAAGAGTAGGACACTCCGTTGTGTAGCACTTGAATGGCATATATCCGGACATGAGTGCGCCATGTACCTGTGCAAGTGAATCAGCGTCCACGCTTCGTTCCCAACCTGGATTCGAGTTCAGATGGGTCTGTGACTCTGTGCCGGTCATATAGCCCGCCTGAGAGGTCGGCGGAGACGCGTTCGACTATGCGGTGCAGTATACGGGGATCGCCAGGGAAGGAGGCAGCAAGCGCCGATACAGTGCAGCCACGTGGTGACCCTGAGCTTCTCGCAATCCCTCGGTACCAAGGCATTGCATCTCCTCTGCCTGCTAGCGTCATACATTGCGTTCGTCAGCCCGCCAGATCATCTCCATCGCAGTGCACTCTATCTCTAGACTCCTCATCACTGCGACTCGCCCTTCCTACACCGTACTCCCCTTTCTGTTAGCGACTTGGGGCACCTGTACGAGACCCACAACGGCACCTTGATTTGGGCGACCAGTGTACTGTCCTCTGTGCAGTTGTGACCACATGGGTACCCTCCCCTTAACCTCTCATCCCAATCGTCGCTACAAGCAATTCCTGTCCGCCTTGACCTCAGCATTTTTGGGTCGCGCTTGCCCGCTGCAGAGTCATCCGATCACGACGTCCCAACGATCAGAAGTATTCAGGTTCATGTCGGATCCTATGGGAGGGGGTCCATGTACGCGACTTCGTGAGTCTTCCTCTATTCCTCTCATATCTTGTTCTGCCGGGGTCGGTGGTATCGTGATCAAGGACATCTGGGAGGATCTCTGCGAGAAGCTAGGCTAGGGAGGAGTACGTCGCATCAGGTAGGTTGTGTGCAGTCTTTAATATGGGCTTGCCTACTGAACCGACTTCTGCTGTGAATCGCGCGTCATAGCTGTCGCAATTTTGTGCAGGAATGTTGCTCCGTCGTTTGGTATGACCTTCGTATACATGCATACACCTTGAGCCACGTCCATAATGTACGTGATAAATCATGAGTATATGCACGGGAGTCCTCCACCCTGCGTCCCAGCTCTACGCCTCAAGATCGGAGTGAGCTTCGTCGACCGAGGCCCGAATCTAAGGCGCAAACATGACATCAATACGTTTCACATTGTCAGAAGGTGCTCAGAAATCCCCCTTCGTTCCGGTCAAGCGCAATGGTCATCGAAACTACAAGCACAATGGGAATACATATGAGGCAGAGGTGTAGGAATGCGACACTAACAATGTGAATTCATACACATCAAGCATAAGAGGGTCCACCGAGAAATTGGCCATACCCTTAGAGTCGTCGGCAAAGCAGTCCCGTCAAGCCGATACACCCTCCACTTCACCGTCGATGTCCCCGTTATGCGACTCCAAGCGCGCTCCGTCTTCCTCTCCTACAGAGCCTGCCTTCGGCCCACCCGCGCTGCCCTCTGAATCGAGCATACCAAGACGTGCATCGTCGATGGCGCTACGTACGCCTCCGCTTCCCTCAAGCTCGGCCTCGACATCCTGCGCGCCCTGAGCTAACTTCGGCGACGTGGTAGATGTGTCCTGCAGCGTCTTGGTGACGACTTCGACGTGCAGGGAGTAAAGTGATGGCGCTGCCCAGTCGAAGCCGAGCTGCACGGTGAGCAGCTTTGCTCTGAGAGTGAGGGCGACTATTGTGTTGGACAGCGACAAGACCCATGGCCCATACTGTAGACCACCCCAATCCGACCACTCTACACAGTTAGGACTCACCTCCACCTCCCCAGATGAGCTATGAGCGAGTTGCAGGGCCTTGACGGTGGCCTTGATCCACAACCGCTGACCATCGTCCTCGTCCTCGAGAGTATGCTGGTACTCGACGGCGATCCTGTGGTCGCCATTGGAAAGCGTGAGCCAGTGAGTGGTCCGATGGTCCTCATCCGGCCCTCGGAGTTCCGCCGTGTACCCTTGTGCACGTAAAGCATCGCGAGTCCTTCCTAGCAGCACGAGGTTGAGAGTCTTGTGCCGCTGACGGCGAGCATGCTGTGATTGTGCGGTAGCGTGCTCCAGCTTGGAGATGTACACGGTCTTCACCTCAATGCGCTCGCGACAGCGCGCGATGGTTGCCGGCGACAAGGGGAAGAAGTCGGGTTGAGAAGGACCCCGCCTTGGTGCAGGGCTGATTTTCACCCATCCGTAGTGCAAGTATCCGACACCGGACTCGGAGGAGGGAATGTAGCAGACCTGGCCGAGAAGAGCGCCAGGGTAGTCGTCGTGTTCACATCCGAGGATGACCAGGTACCACTGGGATGGAAGAGCTTCCCAATCATACTCTGTAAGCTGCTCGGGAAGTGCAATTGAAAGGGGTACGAGGGGCAACTTGGTGCGAATACCATGCGAGGTGGAAGTGTACTTGGGAACTGGAAGGTCCTTCAGTCCGAGCCGACGGAACACATCGTCGTGAGGGATAGCTTTGATCTTTCCTCCTGCTCCAAAGTCGCTGATTTTTGAACCATATAGTGTTGAATTATGAAGCGACGACCGCATTTTGAACGACTGAGCATTCTCTAGGGCCTGTACAAGATTCTGATGTGGTTCACAGTCCCCATAGATATCCGGCCTCCACGCAAAGAGACTCAGGTCGGGAATCTGCCGCACAATCTCCTCCTGCTGTTGAACAGGCGCTGGTTTACACAGCTTGCCTAACACAGCCGTCACAAGATATGGAACGGCACAGCCGGTTACTGCAATAACCGAGGCTGTACTACTCATGTGGTACACACACAGCTTCGCTGTGTACGCACTGCTTCTCTGTGCAACTGTGCATCCTGGGAATGTACTGTATAGTACTACGTAGCCACAGATGTACAGTAGTATATATAGGGGACCTCTGTACCCCC